GACCGCCCCACTCACTACTGCCATGTATGCGATGTCTATTAGTGGAGAGGGTGCTCAGTACTTGCGTGTTCCGCCCGACCCGGGCATTCAGGCCAGCCCCGCTGCTGCTCTAGGTGCTAGTGTGTCTGCTCCCACAGGTACTACTGCAGCTGCTGCTCTAGGTACTTGTGCGTCTGTGCCCCCTGGTACTGAGTTGACTGCAGCACTGCACACCTTCACACTGGACTCAGGTGCTTCTCGCTCTTTCTTTCGTGACCGCACTGTCCTTGAGCCTCTAGCTCGGCCGGTTGCTGTCTCTCTTGCTGACCCCTCTGGGGGTCCGGTCCTTGCGACCTCCTCCACCACCCTTCCGTGTCCAGCGGTTCCGTCCGGCACACTCTCAGGTCTCTACCTCCCCTCGTTCTCCACGAACTTGGTGGCAGGTAGTGCGCTCCAGGACGGGGGTGTTCACCAGTTCACCCCTGCCTACGAGCGTGTGACTCACTGCACATGTGCTCGGACGGGCCGTCACCTAGCTACTTTCACTCGAGAGCCGGGGTCTGACCTGTACACACTGACCACTGAGTCCCCTCAGGTAGCTGCGTCTGCGTCAGCGTCAGGTCAGCTGTCCGCCCCCTGCTCGTGTCGCTCTCTGGCGAACGACACCGTCCTCTGGCACCACCGCCTTGGTCACCCGTCTGTGCAGCGCCTGCGGGCCATGCACAAACGGGACCTTGTTGCTGGTCTTCCCAGGGTGCTCCCTCCCCTTCCTGACTCCCCTGCTCCTGACTGCATTCCCTGTGTCGAGGGGCGGCAGCGCGCCGCTCCTCACTCCTCCTCCTTTCCCCCGACGACCGCTCCCCTGCAGACGCTCCACATGGACGTGTGGGGCCCAGCCCGCGTCCGTGGTCAGGGTCAGGAGAGGTACTTCCTGATAGTTGTTGACGACTACTCGCGCTACACCACGGTCTTCCCCTTGCGCGCCAAGGGTGACGTCCCTGGTGTTTTGATCCCCTGGATCAGCCGAGCCCGTCTCCAGCTAGGCGAGCGCTTTCACTCGGACTTTCCTGTCCTGCGCTTGCACTCTGACAGAGGTGGTGAGTTTGCCTCCGACCTCCTGGCAGCCTACTGTGCTGAGCACGGCATTGAGCAGTCGTACACGCTTCCGGCCTCTCCACAGCAGAATGGGGTTGCTGAGCGGCGCATTGGCTTAGTCATGGAGGTCGCTCGTACCTCCCTGACCCATGCGGCTGCTCCCCACTTTCTGTGGCCGTTTGCGGTCCGGTACGCTGCGCATCAGCTCAACCTCTGGCCCCGTGTCTCCTTGCCGGAGACTTCCCCGACTCTGCGGTGGACGGGAGAGGTTGGCGATGCGTCGCGTTTCCGGGTGTGGGGATCCCGAGCTTTTGTCCGCGACACGTCTGTGGACAAGCTCTCCCGTCGCGCTCTTCCCTGTGTCTTCCTTGGCTTTGTTCCCGACGCGCCTGGATGGCAGTTTTACCACGTCACCTCGCGCCGGGTTCTGGCCTCTCAGGACGTCACTTTTGACGAGTCCGTCCCCTTCTACCGCCTCTTCCCCTACCGCACTGCCCCGCTCCCCCCCCCGCCTCTCTTCCTCGCTCCAGGTGCTGAGGTACCAGACCCCCTCCCCCCTCAGGGTGCCGCTCCCTCAGGTGTGTCCCAGGTAGACCCGGGTGAGCCTGTCGAGGTAGCTGTTGACTCGCGTCCTGCGTCTGGGGGTGCTGAGCCTGGGGGTGCTGAGCCTGGAGGTGCGGAGCCTGGGGGTGCTGAGCCTGGAGGTGCGGAGCCTGGAGGTGCGGAGCCTGGAGGTGCGGAGCCTGGAGGTGCGGAGCCTGGAGGTGCGGAGCCTGGAGGTACTGAGCCTGGGGGTGCTGAGTCTGGGGGTGCTGAGCCTGAGCGTGCTCCACCTGGAGGAGCCCTCTCCTCCCAGCAGCTGCAGGAGAGGTACCTCGAGTACTGCCGCCTCCGGAGAGGTGCTTCTGGAGCTCGTCCCGGTACTTCCCCTCCTACCCAGGAGCTCCCCCCCATTCAGGTGATCCGCGAGTGGTACACGCGGCGCTGCAGTCTTCGTAGTGGTGCTCCTGGTGCTGCGGACCCGAGCGGTGGTGCTGTTGCTGGTGCTGAGGACCCGGGGGCTGGAGCTGCTGCTGGTGCTGAGGACTCGGGCGTTGGAGCTGCTGCTGGTGCTGAGGACCCGACCGGTGGCGCTGCTGCTGGTGCTGAGGACCCGACCGGTGGCGCTGCTGCTGGTGCTGAGGACCTGACCAGTGGCCCTGCTGCTGGTGCTGAGGACCCGGGCGTTGGAGCTGCTGCTGGTGCTGAGGACCCGACCGGTGGCGCTGCTGCTGGTGCTGAGGACTCGGGCGTTGGAGCTCCTACTGGTGCTGAGGACCCGGGCGTTGGAGCTGCTGCTGGTGCTGAGGACTCGGGCGTTGGGGCTGCCACTGGTGTCCCTGCTGCTTCTGGAGACGCTGCGCGGCCGCGACTGTACTTCGTACCGCTCCTTCAGCAGGTTCTTGGGCAGGCTCCTCCTCCTTGTCCTCCTCCCTCCGTAGAGTGTCCTCCGCCTGTCCAGCCGCAGTCACAGTTACCGCCTGCCTCGCCTCTCCCTGCTCCCTCTCCTTACGCTGGTCCCACAGGAGGTCTTACAGAGCGTCGTGAGCCTGAGTCTCGTCCTGCGTCGCCTATTCGTACTGCTCGCACTGGTCGTCGTGTCCCACGTGAGCGTCCTCCTCCTGTCCCTGGCACTCACTACATGACTCTGCGTCCCTCCACTGCTCCGCAGCGTGTCCCGCTGCCGTCTCCTCCTGCGTCCTCTCTTCCTACTCTTCCTGACCCGGAGTCTGACTCCCGTCGTGCTGCCAGTCCCACTGTTACGCGTCTCCTCGCTACAGTTGTCACTGACCCGACCTTTGAGTCCTCTGCTGCGTCTGCCCTGGTCGCTGAGTTGGTTGACTTTGCTGCTCGCTGTCGCCTAGACTACGCTGCCAGCCTTGTCGCTAGGTCTGAGTCTGCGTCTGCCTGTCCTCCGTCCGTCGGGGGTGAGTGTGCCCTCGGCACGGACGTCCTTGAGGACAGACAGGAGGAGTTCCACTGCCTTGCTGCTGCTTTGCCCCGTCTCGTGTCCTTGCTAGTTGCCCCTGAGGGAGACCCGGATGCACCAGACATCCCGACCCCACGCTCTTACGCTGAGGCGATGGCGGGTCCCTACTCCTCTCAGTGGCAGACAGCCATGGACGCAGAGATGGCCTCCTGGAAGTCCACAGGCACCTACGTAGACGAGGTTCCCCCTCCTGGGGCGAACATTGTCAGTGGCATGTGGATTTTCAGGGTGAAGCGGCCGCCGGGTTCTCCGCCTGTTTTCAAGGCGCGCTACGTGGCTCGAGGCTTCAATCAGCGAGAGGGAGTAGACTTCTTTCAGACCTTCTCCCCCACCCCGAAGATGACTACTCTTCGGGTGCTGCTGCACATAGCCGCTCACCGCGACTACGAGCTTCACTCTCTTGACTTCAGCACTGCTTTCTTGCAGGGCAGCCTGCACGAGGAGATCTGGCTGCGTCGCCCCCCTGGCTTCACTGGGTCAGTTCCTCCTGGCACCCAGTGGAGGCTTCAGCGGCCGGTCTACGGTCTCCGCCAGGCGCCACGTGAGTGGCACGACACACTGAGGACGACACTTGCGGCTCTTGGGTTCGCTCCCTCTACTGCTGACCCGTCGCTGTTTCTACGCACCGACACCTCGCTGCCGCCGTTCTACATCCTCGTGTACGTCGACGACTTGGTCTTTGCCACTGCTGACACCGCGGCACTCGCTCACGTGAAGTCGGAGCTGCAGAGGAGACACACGTGCACAGACCTGGGTGAGCTGACGAGCTATCTTGGCTTGCGGATCACCCGGGACAGAGCACGGCGCACCATCACCCTGACTCAGTCACACATGGTGCAGCAGGTTCTCCAGCGCTTCCGCTTCACGTACTCCTCGCCTCAGTCCACTCCTCTGCCTACCGGTCACTCGCTCTCAGCTCTGCCTTCGGATGAGTCCGTAGAGCCGAGTGGCCCGTATCCAGAGCTTGTGGGCTGCCTCATGTACCTGATGACCTGCACTCGACCTGACCTTGCATACCCTCTTAGCATCCTAGCACGCTATGTCGCTCCTGGCCGTCACCGGAAGGAGCACATGGATGCTGCTAAGAGGGTGTTGCGCTACTTGTGCAGTACGTCGGGCATGGGGCTTGTGCTTGGAGGGCGAGACCGGGTTGTTCTCACAGGGCACTCAGACGCTTCTTGGGCAGACGACCAGGCTACTCAGCGGTCGTCCCAGGGTTACACCTTCAGCCTTGGCTCTGGCTCAGTTTCTTGGCGTTCTACTCGCTCTTCTTCTGTTCTCAGCTCCAGTTGTGAGGCTGAGATCTACGCCACAGCCATGGCTGCTCAGGAGCTACGCTGGCTGACCTACCTGCTGACCGACCTCGAAGAGCGGCCTCGTTCTCCTCCAGTGCTGTACGTCGACAACAAGGCTGCCATTGCCTTGTGTGAGGAGCACAGACTGGAGCACAGAACGAAGCACATCGCTCTGCGGTACTTCCTTGCTCGAGAGCTGCAGCAGCGTGGTCAGCTTTGTCTGCGTTACGTGGCCACGGAGGCCAACACTGCTGATGTGTTCACCAAGGCACTTCAGCCTTGTGACCATCAGCGCTTTTGCACTCTGCTAGGCCTTGTACCTACTGGGCCTCACTTGCTTACCTCTTGACCTTGCTTGTACTGTGATCACTATATATATATGCCTACTTGTTTACTTTTGCTAGGTTGTGATCACTGTATCTCTTGCTTTGTTATAAACCTGCATGTGAACTGGTCTTGTGACCGCTTGCTTGTGCTCGGAATTTGTGTGGAATCCTTGAGATCCACCCTGAGCTTGCTTTGCTTTGCTTTGACTGGTCTTGTGACCCTGTGGTTGTCTCCCACTGCGCCTATGGGGGTGTGTCAAACATTGCATGCTTATATTATGTAGGCTGTAGTGGGTTACACCTTAGGGGGTACTGAAAGTTAGGGTTTCCTACTTGTACCAAACTATGTGCTAGTTCAATCCATTCCTGCTCAGTTATTTCTGACACGGGTCGCAGATTGTCGATGGTGAGCATCTGATTCCTCCTCCGCCCCAACCGCTTGGAACACGAGTTCTCTAAGAGGTTTGGGTCTCCAAACTTGGAGAAGGTTGCGAGAAAGTCACCTCCCTTCGCCAGATCGCGGATGGAGCTCCCGCCCATCAAGGCAGTGCCCCGGTCCCACATCTTCCACGCCTCCGAAACCTTCTTGCTTTTGAGCCAGGGGTCGACGACAGCCTCGAAAAACATCCGTTGCTCCTTCTGTTGAGGAGTCTCCTTCACTTGAGGAGTCTCTGCATCATCCTCCCTCTTTGCGCCAGCGGTTCCTCCGTTTGCTGCAGCACAGGGCGGACTTTCGTCGCCCCCCAACGCGCGTTGCAACGCTTCTCTGAGCAGCGCGTTCTCCTCTCGGAGACTTTTGTTCTCCATCCTCAACTCCGCCATCTCCGCCTTCATCGTCCCCGCATTGTCCATGAGCTCCTGGTTGAGGAGTCGCAGCTTCATGTTCTGATGGGTTCCTTTGAGTCGATTGATAGTATCCTGCAGCATGTGGGTCAAAACACTGTCAACGAGTATTGGCAGATACCACAACCAATCCGCGCAGAAAGTGATCACTTACCGCTGCTGCAGACTGGCCCACTTCCTTCCGGAGTCGACGACCTTCTTCGTCCTTGTTCGCAACAATTTTGGCCCATTTCTGGAACAAGGGCTCCTGACAGAGGGGCGAGATTTGGCGTAAGGGTGGCGGGTACAGTTGCAGGCACGCCCTTCGCCAGTGAACTTCTTGTCGCACTTGGGGTTCTCGCAGAAGATCCAATACATGGCAAGGTCCTGAGCAACAACATCGCGTCCATGGTCTCGAAGGGCCTTCAAAAACTGCTCGGCTGATAGCTTCTGCCCGTGTGACTTTTTGCCTTCGTTGTAAGCTTCGACCTGCGAAATGCCACATAATAGGGATCAATGTATGGACAACATAGATATCGTACCTTCGCCAGCTCTTCCCCGAGCCAACATAGATATCGTACCTTCGCCAGCTCTTCCTCGAGCCAAGAGTAGATGTGCTTCTTGAACAAATTCTGCAGATCTTTCCACTCCTTGTCGTCAGGCAGTTCCGCATGAGCTCTGCCGATGTAGTAGTCTCCAGGATCACCGGAAAACCCCGCCATTAACAGCACCGTGTCGAAAGGCACGCCCAACAGGTATGACCTCCGCATCTCTCCCTGCTCCCAGCCTCCCAGCTTCGCAATGAGGGCGTCAGGGCACCCGTCATCGCTGAGACCTTGCGCCCCAGACCTGCGGAAGATGTGGGTTACTTTGCTCGACGTCCACCCCGCCTTTTTCATCACCCAGCCGATCCAATTGTTGTGCGACTTGTATTCCATCTGGTCCTGCTCTTGGGGGGAATTGTCTGTGTGCTTGTTGATCTGGAAAAAGATGTGCTTCTTGAACCAGTCAGTGTTCTTGTCGAACTTCAGCGGTGGAATGAGTTGTCGCTTGTAGCGGACCTCGGCAAGGTCGTATACGAAATGGATCCAGAGGAAGACTCCAGCGAAGCCGCACCGCTTGTAGTCGATGCGCCTGGCGACATACTGGTGTGACAAGCGGTTTGTGGGATTGTTCTTCGTTTGTCGAGACACGAACAACATGACTGGAAGGTCAAGGCCCTCGTCTTGAAGAGTAGAGCTGCGAGTCTCGTGGACATACATGTTCGCAAATCGCAAAGATCGGATACTGCACCCTCTGCCCAGCATCTGATGCGCAAGCATGATCATGACTGCCACTACCAGAACCCTCCACAAGCCCTCCGAAAGGAACTGCACGCTGGCCTTGAAGTAGGCTGTCCTGTGTTCAGGCAAAACCTTGTAAAACAGATCCCTGTACTGCGCTGCCGAGTACACGTCGTTCAGAGAACCGCACGTCTGTTCGAACCCCTCGCTGCAAAAAAAGGAAACGTTAGTTTCAGACACAAAGGAACCCGGTAAAACAACACACCTGAACCCAATAAAACAGTGATCTACTTCACTCACTCGATCTGCTTGTTGCTGAGGTTGCGAAGCTTGATTCGTAGCAGACCCCTTGCCTCCCTCAACATGTCCGACACGCGAGAAGTAGAGTAGTTGAAAAGGCGTCCTTCGATTTCTCCGAGACAACTCATCGCGTTCATCTTCGTCTTCAGCATGGATGCTGTGCAAGCCTTTGGCACTTTCCCCGCGTACATCTGACGACCTTCCCGCATCTTCGCCGCTTGTTCTGGTGTTTCGGAGAACAAGTACTCCATGAAACGACAAATCCGCCACAAAGTCAGCTTCGGCCCGTGCAGATGGGATTCGTTCTTCGGGACATCGGCCCATGCTCGTCCCTTGTCGTTGCCCAGTTCGATCCCAATTTCGTCCGGATTTTCGGGGTCCAGCCTCTCCTCTTCTGGAACATCGAGCAACACCGCCATCAGTAGGACAACCCATCTCTTGTAGTACCACCAGCAACCGTGGTAGCAATTGTTCGTTTGATCCTTCCTAGCAATAACATGCTTCCATGCTCGAGTGATAGCTTCCTTCGTCTCTCGTGTCATTGGAATTTCGTGCCGGATACCAGGAACTGGCTGTTCTGGATCCCAGTCCAAGCACCGTCGTGTATCCGTCCCTCCCTCTTCACGTTCGACCTCGGGCGCTGGTGGCAAGTCGAAAGGATCCGTCCGCTCGACCTGCGGATTCGCACATGGAACACCAATTGTCGGACCTCTGCGCTCATTGTCCGATGCTGGGTTGCTGGTGCGGGGGTTGCTCCGCTCGTCCAGCTGATTCTGCTGCCGAAAATCCGTTGTCTGACCCCTTAACCCACTGTCCGATGCTGGGTTGTTGTTAGGGGGGTTGCTCCGCTCGTCCCGCTGATTCTGCTGCCTGGAATCTGTTGTCCGACCCCTTAACACACTGTCTGATGCTTGGATGTTGAAAGGGTTCCTGAGCTCGTCCCGCGGATTCTGCTGCCGAAAATCAGTTGTCCGACCCCTACACCCACTGTCTGATGCTGGCGACCCACTCGACTCAGACCCGCTTGCCTCATCTTCGCTAGAGAGCTCAACTACTGCAGGATCCGCTCCTTGTCCCACGTCGCAGGGCAGCGGCGCATTTAGGTCCCAGCCGTTTCTTGCAGGATCCGCTCCTTGTCCCACGTCACAGGGCAGCGACGCATTTAGGTCCCAGCCGTTTCTTTCCTCCCTACGCGTTTCCTCAAATTCCTCTGGCGCGTTGAAAAAGCGCTCGTTTTCCCGGTCCTCCTCTTCGACAGCTTGCCTTGTATCTGCGTATATGTCCTCGTCGACATTTTCGACCTCGACTGGTTCGAAGTTCGCGTCATGAAACCTCTCGCCCGTAAGATCGATGCCGTCAGGAACGGTTTGCAGATCCTCGTCGTTCAGTTCTTCCGGTTCTTTGTCTGGTCGGAAGCGTTTACCCAACCAGCTTCTTGACGCTGCTCCATTAAAACATGTAGATTCCGAATGCAATGGTCGACATAAAAATGCTCGACAGTTTACGCTATGCTAGATTGTCCAAAATAAACGTGCACCTATTGCTATGTCAGAAACTCTACTAAATCTAAAAGTTCTATTCTACCACTAGACTACGGCGGCTCCTACAAAAATCAGCGACGACTGCAACATGTAGACCACACATTGAATTCTAATCTAGGAACGAGACATTCAGTATTTTGGTCGATTTCTCAGCCGTACATGCTGCGTAGAGTCCTCCATCGATGAAAAAACTGTAGACGAGAATGTCGATGTCAGATGCTGCACAATCAATGGGCAATGATGCATGTTGGTCGGAAACGACGACAGCCGAGAGACGAAAGAAACCGGAACAATGAGCAAAACTGCAGGACATAGATCGAAATCGCCCATGCCCCACGCATCGCGTCGAGCAGAACTGCAATGGTCGCCCCTCTGCAGATCTGGTGGCTCGCGCCAGAATCTGATGTATCGATTGGTTGCCAGCAGAGAGGTAGGACGCGCGAAGGATGCAGAGCAGTGGTGTTGCAGAGGTCAGAGTCTGACCTCGACGGACATTGGTTGCGTCAGGGCGGTAACATTGTAGACACACTCGTTACCCTTCATAGTTATCTTGTTGCACCTTTTCTAAAAAAATACCCTAAAGCGTAAAATAAAATTGGCGCGCAATCATCAACCAATAATATATGACCCGCAATTCTCGTAATTTAGCGGTCAAGCGGGCGGGAACGTGCGTCGAATGTGGATGGAAACGAGTGGCCAAGGGAGTAGCGTGATGGTGTGATTTGCCTCCACGCAGAACTCGTGAATAGGTTTCGTTCGTACCTAAGCATCGAGTTCTATCATATCCCGGAACCAGTGTAGAATAGGAGCGGATTGTCCATCTAGTCTGCACATCAATTATCACGCCACTGTCCCGGAACGTGAGTTGCCCAGTATCGAAACCACAATTCTGAGTCGTGCGACGTCGCGCAGACCGTTAGGTCGCAACCGGTCGGGCGACCAGGCAGCGTCAGTAGCCGGCCGAAGTGGTTACCTTGAAGTTCATCGCGAATTCGCGACATCCACAATTCGAAATTACAAACATCCGAAACTCGGGCAGGACCGGAACGAAACGGGCAGTTGCAGCAGTGCACGAGGGGCGGTGGGGCATGTCATGTCGTACTCGGCGCGGCTTTGCGCCAGCTTTGCGCCCACCTTCAACTCGTCCGAACTCCCAGGACGAGACGAGCGTGACGAGCATTTTTCCACAGGCAAATCCGGAGGACGAGAGTCCGGACCCTTTCATCATCCCCCCCACCCATTCTAGGTATTTGGGTATTTTTTATATCCGGGGGATTACTGTAACATAGGAGGGCCTGAGACTGGATATCCATGGAAGTAGAAAGTGCCTCGTCTAACCACAAAAATTTTGTATTTCATAATGGTAGAAGTTAGAACACATGCACTGGTGACACAGGCACATGTCAAACTATATGTGCTGCATATTGTCTAGGCTGTAGTGGGGTAGCCCATATGGGGTACAACCTAGTTAGGGTTTACTACTTGTACTCCTGCATCCTGTTAGTTCATCCATTCCTGCTGCTAGATTCTAACATGGTATCAGAGCACTAAGGTCCGTAGGACCGTTTTTTTTCGGGCCCACCTACCGCTGCGGTTACCGCGCTACCCCACGTAGCCTTGCCTTGCCTTGTATGCCTTGCCTTGCCTTGCCTTGCCTGCGCGCTGCCCCTAGAGGCCCGTAAGGCCCGCGCGCCGCCTCTACACGCCTGTCGGGCCCGCACACACGCTGCTACCGCGCGCTGCCCGCACCGAGATCGCGCAGCCCGCCCCGAGTCGCGCGCAGCCCGCTGCAGCCACGCGCAGCCCGCACCGAGCCGCGCGCAGCCCGCGCCGAGCCCGCGCAGCCCGCGTCGAGCCGCGCGCGGCCTGCTACGGCCTCGCGCAGCCCGCGCGCGGCCCGCAGCAGCTCGTGCCGAGCCGCGCGAGGCCTGCTCCTGCCTCGCACGGCCCGCGCGCGGCCCGCAACAGCCCGCGCCGAGCCGCGCGCGGCCCGCTACTCCCTAGCGCGGCCGCGCGCGGCCCTTTGCCTCGGCCCCGACCTGCCGCTGATGCGGCCCCGCCCAGCAGCTGCCATGGCCCCGACCTGCCGCTGATGCGGCCCCGCCCTGCAGCTGCCACGACCCCGACCTGCCGCTGACGCGGCCCCACCCTGAAACTGCCGCTGACGCGGCCCCGCCCTCCAGCTGTTTCGGCCCTGCTCTGCAGCCGGTTTTGCGGCCCCGACGTCGCCGCTGTCGTGCGCCTACTCGAGCGCCGGCCCTGCTCTCCCAGCCTTTGGTGAGCGCCTGCCTGCCTGCCTGCCTGCCTGCCTGTCTGCCTGCCTGCCTGCCGGCCTGGCTGCCTGCCTGCCTGCCGGCCTGCCTGCCTGCCTGCCTGTCTGCCTGCGTGTCTACTTGCCTGCCTGCCTGCCTGCCTACCTGCCTGCCTGTCTGCCTGCCTGCCTGCCTGCCTGGCTGCCTGCCTACCTGCCGGCCTGCCTGCCTGCCTGCCTGCCTGCTTGCTTGCCTGCCTGCCGCGCCTGCCTTGCCTGCGCTACTGCTACTGGCAGGTGGCCAGATGCAGCTCCAGCGACATTCACGCGAGCCTCTGACGCCTCAG